ACATGTCATCTCGTGGACTTCTTTTCTTTCATACTTTCCAGTTTCTATTTTTAGTGGAGCTACCCCACATCTAAATTTTGCAAAAGCACTGATGTTTTTAATTGGCGGAATATTTTTTAACAAATAACAGTTGGCCAACAGTATATTTTTAAGCCCATTTCGCTCAGTTGAATAGAAATTCCAATTTTAACTGTTCTGTCGTAGAAATGTCATCATGTTATTGTTTGTACGTAGAACATGTATCATTATATTAAAATGTGTCAGTCCTAGCCAAGATTCACTGAATAACCACGAAATGTTTACAGAGGATAAATAAATTTTACACAAAAATTCATGAATCTGTATGAACGTTATGTACGATGAAGTTAATTAAGTGTTCACAAGAAAGTAAGTATGAATGTAAATTTTATTTAAAGTCGGAACATATATATACACTTTAACCGTGAGATAAAATATAAGCTTTGATGAGCTCTATAACAGACTATCATATAAAACCCGCAATGAATGAACGTTACCCGATTAGAGATGAACGTTTGACAAATGCACGTTATCTGATGTACACAGTTACATACACGATTGACGAACGCACGATACACGGTTAAGAATGAATGATTGATGAACGCACGATACACGCACGATACACGCACCATACACGATTAAGAATACACGATGCACGCACGTTACACGGAAAATACACGGAACGATGAATGATGAGCGCACGATTGGTACACGCACGATACACGCACGATACACGCACGCAACACGCACGATACACGATGAACGCACGGAATAATGGTCAGTTTGAATTTTAGAAGGTCTGTAGCTACCCATTTAACTTGTTTGTGTACATACATGTACACAACCCAGACCTGAGTGTGTGTGGATCATCGATTGTCACATTTAAATATAAACTGAGGCTTAAATGTACACATTTAAATCTACATTTAAATACCTATGTTTCAGAAATATTACTTATTCAAATTCAAAAGACTTAGTTTAGTAGTTCGCTCATTTCTAAATTTAACTCTTTTTTTTTTATCTCAGTTAGTATACCTTCTTTGTTTTATCAGGAATTGTTTTTTTTCTGAGAATTAAAATTTTTTTAAATTGAGATTGTCATTTCCAAATGAAAAAAAGCATTTGACAAATTTCGTGCGCCCGAAGATCTTTTCTGGAATTTTTAAACATAAACATTTAAAAGCCAGTGATGTATAAATACGCAGACACGTTAGGAGCTATATATTACCGAAGCATAGTCAATTTCATCTAAGGTCAACCTTGCCTGGGGGAGTTGGAATAAAATTGAGAATGGAAATGGGGAATGTGTCAAAGAGACAACAACCCGACCATAGAACAGACAACAGCAGAAGGTCACCAGTAACTTAGTTTCTTAATAATGTCATAATTTATCAACGGGAAATTTTAAAACAGTATGCTATAAATCATGCCATTTCCGAAGCACTGACTTCTGAGCTGATAATACCCCCAGGGACTAACACCAGTGCTATAGTAAATGAATATAACTCTTTATAAACTTCCGTTGATTTGAAGTGCTTTCTGAATTTACCTTCATCGGGAACGCTCAAACCTTAACATGCAGGTGAAAGCAAGGGATGTATAAATACGTAGTTTCGTTCGGAGCTGTCCTTGAAAGCATAGCAAAATTCATCTAACTTACAGGTCAACTTTTCCTGAAGGACAGGTTTGTTATTGGTTTCCTTATTTATCAACGGGAAATTTTACAATAGGATGAAATAATGTCTCAGTTCTAAAAGTCAGCTTGGGAGTGTGAAAAGTTTAGTTTGAAGAAAGAAATGTCAAAATCGAAATTAGAAATTTAAAATAATAGAATGTGTCGATCAGTCTTTCTTATCATTCTACTAATTTGACGAATTTCTGTGGATTATAATTACATGTACATGTAACACCAATCGTCTTTCTAAAACTTATTATATATAATATAGCTCTGCTATGCGTAAAAGGTTTGAATTGCTAACATCTACATCATGAAGTCTCTCGTTTGGTGTCTCATTAGAAGTTGGGATATATATATATATGCAATCCTAGCATCAGCAATCACTAAACAAAAACAAAGATTTTGTCCCTCGAAGAATCTTATTTATTATGATAACGAAGTATACCCAGGTTTATAGTTAAGGTAATTTAAATATCTGATCTAACCCAGCTGGGTAAACCACTACTACCGACTATGACGTACATGTAAGGCGAATGAGTAATGCACATGTCTGAACCAAACAAACAAACAAACAAACACACAAGCAAAAACTTATAATTTTCAAAAATATTTTTTTCATATAATTTTGTATACACGTATTCAAAAATATGTATTTACATAATACTGTGATAACCACTCCACAACATAGGTACTGGTTTACTAGAATATTTTGTGACATTTTAATAGCATCCTTAATGTACAATGGTAATGTAATAGTTATTAAACCATCGTTCTCTGACGTCAGCGTTTTCATTAACTGTGATTTCTTTTTCTAGGATCAACGCTTCTCAAGTTAAGTCGATGAAAGAGAGTCACCGAGTTCTTAGTTATATTTGATTAAATTTTAAATCACTTGTTTAATGAGTTCTGTTCACGATTGTAATATGTTATAATTACATTACATGTATGTTTCATTGGAATCCTTAATTTTGATTGGCTGAAACCAATCGCCAGACACTTCCACATTAAATTCTATATCCGTATAAAATACAACGGCTATGACTGCCTGTGCTATCAATGACATTGTGAAAACAATGCACAGAAAAACAAACGAAAAGCTTGATATAACTCTTTTAATTTCATGGTTTCTAGCATAAAATGCTTCTTTTTATAATTTTATAGGGTTGTAAAACCGTTGATCGTGCGCACATTTTTAGAATGAAGTGCACAATATGCTTCGGTCAACGCTTTTACACCCCAATAAAGTTATTAACAGAAGCATTCAATTCTTAATTAAAAACTTTTTTTTTGACTTCGCAATTTTCATTTTTGGTCGTCAATGATGTCTACTGCAATAATATGCTATAGGATTTCATATTGCATAAAACATTTAGGGGATATATATATATGAATTTATATTTCATATTGTAATTCTTTTTTAACTTTTTTTTTGGGCTGGTGATACCCTTGGGGACTAACAGTCCACCAGCAGAGGCACCGACCCAGTGGTAGTAATAACATTAACGGTACCAATTTTCTGCACCAATTGCGCATTTCTGTACTTCAAACTGTACTTCTTTCTTCCCTTTTACTCATGGACTTCTACCAATTAAAATATGCCTGACAATATTCTGTATCATTCAGGAGGACTTTAAAAAAAAACGCCTTGGTGGTATCGTGGTAGAGTACTCATCTTCAGTGCGCCATTAGTTCGATCTACGGGTCAAACCAAGGACTTCCAAATCGGTAGCTGCTTTATCGCCTAAGTAGTTAAAACATTTTTTATTTGCATAAATACAAATTTAATTGGACACAAGTAAAACAGACTTATGAAGTCTTCTACATTTAACATATTTAACAATACAATATTTAAGAGCACGCACACATTAAATATTATTTCAACATTAAAATAAAATAAGCTTCGCCGCTAAACACGAGGCATTTACTGGTAAGAGCAAAGACTGCACAAAATGTTTCCGGGACGGGTGACATGTCTTCCTGTGGATTGTTGTCTCGTGATCTAGCAGGTTAAAAATCCGGACTCAACCCGTCGATCTAGTATATAAACCATGGTTCATATCCATTATATAAATAACACATAGCTGAGAGGGTGATAGAGCAGATTGTTACCCCGAGAAAACATTGTCAACTGAGACGAAGCTAAGGTTGACAATGTCTTTTCGAGGGGTAACAATCTGCTCTATCATCCTCTCAGATATGTGTTATTTAATTTATTATACTGAATGTTCTGTTATTACTGTCGATTAAATTTCAAATTCAAAGTAATAAACTATGACGTCTTGTACATTACAACCATCCGTATTTAATAAAGCGCACACTTGATCAAGCGTCTCCGTGAAGGGTAATAGAGTATTTACCATAGAACAGAGTAAATTAACACCCTCGTATAAACCAATCAAAACATTGCATTTTTACGTGAAGTATAATACATCACATTAACATATTCCCATCCTATTATGCATTGAATATTTGTCACTGGACGTTAAATACCTATTCATCCATTCATTTTTATTTGTTGGTTTGTTACTTATTCAATTTGATATCATTAGGCACATTTTTTTGTCTTCTTCCTCAACCAAAGAGCTTGATAGCTTTAAGAGAACACATTATGCTTCCCTTGATATCGGTATTATCTGTGTCCTGAAAATAATTGAACGGCATATGTGTTCACCATTACAGAAAAAAAATATTCCATTTTTCCTGGCTAAACCTACATATAATTTTCGCAAAAAAATCGTAAAACAATTTCCTGAAAATTTACCTTGCATTTCAACTACAAATAAACAGCAGCATCAGGGGCTCCTGATACAACCGTCCAAAAATATATGAGAGAAGAAATTGTATTTAATACCGAATGAACAAACATATAGAGTGTGGCTATTTCTTTTAAAGGATGAAAGCATACTTGCGGTATTTCCAGACATAAATGTTTGCCTAGTTTTGATCTTTTTAACACCATACTTTAATATACAGAAAACTTCAGAAATCGAGCAACCTTCGATCACTTAAATATCTATCGTAAAACAGCCATAGCGGTCTACGTAAAAACATGGGATGCTCGGAAATAACATGCAATACATATATTCAATATAGAAAATACAATGCGATAATTTAAATTCCTGTTTTACTTCACACCAGTAACTACGGCCGATCTTTCATTTGATCAATCCTTACACCCCTTGTTGTTTTATACGACACAAAAACTTTCACATACATGTATGTATTATTTTGATAATTTAAATTTATGTTCACAATCTTTATTTATATTATAAATAAGAAAATGAGACATACATAGCATCGTCTTTAATCTGAGCTCAATTTTATAATTGTTTCAATTTTTTTTAAAAGTTACTAGTAATCAACAGACACAAAGCATTCGGGGATAATGTGGTCTATAAAAAGTAGATACATAGTTCGCAGGATGAGAACGGGTAGGCTGATAATTATGAAGAATTTTTAATACATGCATGTATATTTATATCCTCGATTTTTCTGGAAATTTATTAACTAATGTCATTCTTTGAATCTGGATTTTTAACAACTTCATCGTAGCTAGGAGGTGGTGCATCAGGTTTACTGTCTGACTGAGGTATAGCTGACCCACCTGGCTCTGCTGGACTGTTTTGTAATACTGCTGTCTCGAGCTCTGTTGAGATAAACGGAGCTTATTACAAAAAAATAAAAACATGCACATTACAATGTAGAAATCCATCAAATGTTGCTTATTTCTGTTTTGTTTGCTCAGCAAGTGTTATTACATGCATAATTCAATATTTCAAGTTAAATAACATATTGAATCAATTTACTGCACCAAATATTGAATATTAAAATAATCTAGTTCGTGATACTTCTTTGTTACCGTTCTCTTACTTTAAAGCACATGTTTATACCAACCGTTTAAACCAATCAGCAATTTTCAGGATAAAAACACAACTGAAACATAATCTGCTAAATTCCATTATTTCATAGTTTTGCAAATAAATATATAGCATAATAGCCATACATTTTAGAAAATATACCAATTTAAACCTAGTATGCCCTAAAAAAAACCTTATTTCTAAATAATTTATTGTTACATTTAATGTTTAAAACAATATGAATGAAAGTAATTATCATGAACATTGCTTTCAATATGGCTTATCACAATAAAGTTATAAACATTGCATTCGTAACATATAGAATGACAATATTGTAAATTCAGTTATCTCCCTTTGTTCATGATACAGTTGTGGTTGAAGCACATAGATTTTTACATCATGCACTACTTTCTGCAACTTGTGTATTTCTTAATTAAACGCTTTCTTGACAGTTATGGAAATTGTACTCTTATGTTTTTTGTTAATTGAATTAGAAATAAATTGCTTGATATAGACACAGACAGGATCTATATAATGTGCACCTCACTGCACTATGCTGTGTGTACTCATAAAACACCTGCAAATATTAAAATGTATAGATAACCAGTCAGCGACTATAGGGATTACATTGCAATTCATGCAATCTTTATCCGAATAAAATGGACAAAAGATTACAGCACGTGCAATACTCGAGGTTAGTAAAAAATAAACAATGAAAATAAAAGCTATATGAAATAGTAAATAAAAAAAGTATTATCACTGTATTGAATAACAGATATTCACATTAGGCTTTCAGTATTCATGTCAGTTCTAAAACGACTTATTCGCTAATTAGGCTGTGTAACGTCTTACATTTAGGACAAAACTAATAAAACTTCATAACTGTTTAATTTTTGTTTCTACATTTGTTCATTAATATTAAGATATAAGGTCTTAAGTAATACAAGCAATAAAACATACTACACGCAATATGACATCTAATATATCTAATACAAGTTAGTAAAGGAGCTTACTAGAGCGGTTCTTTCATGGTTGGGTCTTTAGTATTATAGATACGTTCATGATTAAGCAGGTTTACTCACCACTAGGGCTATAGTTTTGTCGAGTTTCATCTACATGTAAAGGAACAGAATGAGCGGAATTCCCTATGGAATCACGTCTCGGTCTTACAGTCGTTCCCATAATTTTGTCTTTAACGCTTGTTATAACAGAACAGCATTGCTGCCGTGCACGTTTATTGCTGACGACACATAGCAGAATAATCACAACAATTGCTACTGGAATCATATCTTTAATCGCCTTTCCTACTTGGTCCCAAATGTCTGCAACTGCAATAAAATGTAACGATTTGTGTTAACATGCATAAGATATCTAAATTCAGATAACAATTTTGACCACCATAAGAAAGAGACGATCGGAATGAAAAAAAAATATGTGTTCATGCTTCGCTTGCTTGAAAGTGAAGCATCAATACGAGACATGTATTTGATCAGATTGATAAAGAGAAAAATCAAAACACTATAATATACCTTTTTGCATTATTTCGATTTTGTTTAGAATAGAGAATTGAAATGGGGAATGTGTCAAAGAGACAGCAACCTGACCAAAAGAGCAGAAATCAGCCGAAAGCCACCAATGGGTCTTCAATGCAGCAAGAAAATCCCGCACTCGGAGTCGGGCTTCAGCTGGCTCCTAAACAATAACGTATACTAGTTCAGCGAAATGGACACCACACTTAACTCCGAAACATACAAATAAACCAAAACAAAACAAAAAACACACACAAGACTAAAAGGGGCTAGAGGTTCCTGACTTGGGACAGGAGCAAAACTTCGGCGGGGTTAAACATGTTTTGTGAGATCTCACCTCTCCCATTATACCTCTAGCCAATGTGGAATAACCAAACACACGGGAAAGCAGTTTGTTCACATTAATGAGCAAGACTCATTGTACTGTAAAAGGATACTCAGAAGACAGTAATGCAAAATGATCCACCAACGACAAGCCTGACGGCAAATCAAAATTACTCTACATACTATATCCATAACGTCCTTTTTAGGCAAATGAAATAGCAATGTAATAAAAATAATAATAAAGCTTGAAAACACAAGCGCTTCCCATCTGAATGTAGATTAGATTGGCCTTAATAATGGCCTACGCTTACAAACTTGCCATTGTCGCCGCGGGGACCATACTTACAGATGCATCAAAGATCATATAAATAAAACATAGAAAAAGACGAACTAGCTAAGAAACGCATGGACAGATGCATTAAAAAAAGGACACAGTGTACACTCTCAATACAACATTCAAAACTACGCATGGAACTATTTACATGATACAGCTTAATCATATCGAGATTTTCTCAATCATTCATTAAGTGTTGGACCAATTCCTTTTCCCACTAAGTATTGACATACCATTTACTTTAACTTCTGAAGTTATCTTCAATTTAAGTTTGGACGACGACTCTTGATAATTCTTTGATACGACAAGCTTAAACATCATATCCCTAGCTTTGGCAACACATATACGGTCAATTTCGTCATCTGAACTATCGTAAACCTGTAAAGTATAACTTATACAATTATATCTTAATGAAGAGCTTTTAAATTCGTTAAAAAGAATGTCATTTGCTTTACAAAATTAATATCAATGAAATAATCAAATAAAAACTGTCAACAGCGAAAATAATGTGATTTTTTTTTTTATCAAACACAACATATTTTTGGGAAGAAAAAATGCAAACAAAAAAAACCCAAACTAATTACATTTAAAAAAAAGCAAGAATTTATATATATATATTTTAAAAGTTTTTGCACACCATACAACTACATCATTCCATATAGATTCCGAGTGAGCAGTTTTAACCAATTAGCTTGAAACAGAAAATCTTGAATTTAGAAATGGCAACTACCTCTAGAGGAATAAAACAAGAGGCTTAAGAGAGCCTGATATCGCTCACCTGTAATTTCAGTTTCAGGCATTGGACTTATTTGTAGATCTTAATTTGCCGAACAATTTTGTCATTTACACTTTCTCTCTTTCTATAATAATAATATTACAGATAATACATAACCAAAACTGTAGAATTTCCTACAAATTAACTATTTCTGGACAATAACCCAACAATAAGTTGTCCTATTGGTCTGAAGATTACTTGACAGGTAGATCTAAACCTGTTTAACTCTTTCACCTATGCCAGTTTTGCTCTTACTGCTTTAGTTTTTGAGATGAAAGCCAAAAACTTCATTTGACCCCTATGTTCTATTTTTAGAAACTTCCGCCATGTTTTTGAATGGATCAAATCCCCGAATACAATCTATAAACTAGATACTCTAAGGAACATTCAATTAAAGTTTTTAAGTATTTGGCCAAGAGAAGGGGATTTTTGAAAAAAGTAATTAGACTTTCACAAAAAATGTTAAAAAAAAAACGTTTTAAGGGCAATAACTCCTCAAGAGGTCAATTGACTATTTTGATCATGTTGACTTATTTGTTGATCTTACTTAGCTGAATATTTATTGCCATTTATACTTTCTCTCTATCTATTATAATATTAAAGAAAATAACCAAAAACAGTAAAATTTAATAAAAATAAACTATTTCCAACAGTAACTCAACAATGGGTTATCGAACTTGTCTAAAAATTTCATAACAGATAGATCATGACCCATTTATCACTTTAACTCCCTTTCACCTTTGCTCTAACTGCTGCAATTTTTAAGATATAAGCCAAAAACTGCTTTTGTCCCCCATGTTCTATTTTTAGCCATGGCGGCCATATTTGTTGATGGATCAAAACTTCGGATACAATTTATAAACTAGATACCCTAAGGAACATTCAGTTAAAGTTTGGAAGTATTTGGCCCAGCAGTTTAAGAGAAGAAAATTTTTTAAAAAGTAATCGACTTGCACGAAAAAATGAAAAAAAAAAAACGTTTCAAGGGCAATAACTCCTTAAGGAGTCAATTGACTATTTTGATCATTTAACTTATTTGTAGATCCTACTTAGCTGAACATTTTTGCCATTTTCACTTTCTCTCTATATATAATAATATTAAAGATAATAACCAAAAAAAGTAAAATTTCATAAAAATAAACTATTTCGGACAGTAATATGATGAACAAATTGTGTAAAATTGTCTTTAAAGGGCAATAACTCCTTAAGGGGTCAATTGACAATTTTGGTCATATTTACCTTTTTTGTAGATCTTACTTTGCTGAACATTTTTGCTGTTTACATTTTATCTTTATCTTCAATAATATTCAAGATAATAACCAAAAACTGCAAAATTTCCTTAAAATTACCAATTTAGTGGCAGCAACCCAACAATGGGTTGTTCGGTTCTTCTGAAAATTTTAGGGCTGAAAGATCTTGACCTATTGAACATTTTTACCTTGTCAGATTTGCTCTAAATGCTTTACGTTTGAGAAAACTGCATTTGACCTCTATGTTCTATTTTTAGCCACGGCGGCCATATTTGTTGATAGATCAAAATTTCGGATACAATTTATAAACTAGATACCCTAAGGAACATTCATTTAAGTTTGAAGGTATTTGGCCCAGTAGTTTCAGAGGAGAAGATTCTTGAAATAGTTTACGACGACGACGACAGACGATGACGACGACGGACGCCAAGTGATGGCATAAGCTCACATGGGGCCCTACGGGCCCGGTGAGCTAAAAACAGAAGACAATAAACCTGCTCAGATTTCCGACCTAAATCTGAAATGCGTAATGTCTCGTAACAGGTTATTGACGAAGGCAATTAGTGCAAGGAGAACACACAAACGACTAATAAATTACATAGTGATATTTTTGGTACAAAATGTTTAAGAAAATTATTTAAGTAACATTGAATAGATTAGTCGTAGTGTGTCATTAATTTACATCGGTACGTAAGAAAATTCTTTTTTTCAAATATTGCCTAGAATAAACACATCATGGATACCAGAATTAAAGGTTTGCACACAAGACGCGCGTTTCGTCTACAAAAGACTCACAGTGACTCTCGATTAAAAAAGTTAAAATGGCCAAATTAAGTACGAAAATGAAGAGAACTGAAGACCCAAAATCCGAAAGGTTTTGCCAAATACAGCTAAGTTAATCTATTCATGAGGTAGAACAGCCTAAATCTTTATAAACATTTCAACTGTATATCAAAATATATATACTAAAGCAAATAATATAATGTCATTGGAAATTCATTGTACAAGGGGGATCTTGGATCCTACTGAATTCCAATTTGAACTGAAACGTAAACATTTGAAACATCTACTTACCCATCGCTTGGTAGCATTTGTAACAACCAGTTCTACATCAAATGATGGAAAGTCTACTTACCCATCGCTTGGTAGCATTTGTGACAACCAGTTCTACATCAAATGATGGAAAGTCAAATTCTTCAGACTCAAAACAAACAGTAAAGTCTAAAAAATGGTGGTCTTCACCACCCGTAAAGTTAAAGGCACATAATTTTGGATCTGTTTTTCCTGACCAAGTTAAAGTGTAAATTTTATCCTCAGGAAGCCTTCTTGCATATTCGTCACAGTTGTTTGAATTAAAGAATACTGAAAGGAGAGACAAAAGAAACTAATGCAATAAGGAATCAGTCTATGTATAATATACTGCTAGTTGTATGTATGCATAATAGTTTAATGATTGTTCTAATAGAGCTTTTTCACATTTTGACGAAAGGTACGTACGGTTGACGAATCAAACGTAAGAACCAGTTGTGGGATCCTCTATTTTGACTCTTTAAAAAATATGACATATCTATGTAATCATAATCAAGGCTGTCATGGGACTTAGATGACGTTTTGCCTCAATGTTTGCCTAACAAGGACCATGCAACGACACAGGGAAAACTTGAATTTTCGTGTGACATAGGAATTTTGGAACATACCAGGTAAAAATATAATACTACCAGGGGAAGGAGATAACTCAACAAAATTTGTTAAACAAAGGCCTCATCAGAAGACGAACAAAATATCACTAAAAAGGTTTGCTTAAATACCCCCCCCCCCCCCCCCTTTCCCCCAAAAAAAATAAATAAAAAATTCATCTTTGCAGTATCAAACCTAAGAAAATATCAAAGCAATGCCCTCAAAAAAAAAAACCCCGAAACATTACTTTCTGATGTTTTTTTTTGCAAACCCTCAAAATAGTAAAATTAAAGAGATTCCCCACCTCCCCCTGTGTAATACCCCTTGTCGTCTTATTCTCTTATTGCATATTCTTGAGGATTTTTTTCCGGATTAATCATTTATCTTCATCTATAATTGCTATGCCTGCTTTTTTATACGCCCGTCAAATTTTTGACGGGACGTATTATGGTATACAAATGTCCGGCGTCCGTCCGTCTGTCTGTCCGTCTGTCTGTCCGTCTGTCTGTCTGTCTGTCCGTCTGTCTGTCTGTCTGTCTGTCCGTCTGTCTGTCAACGTAAACATGTCGCACCGTAACTTGAGAATGACTTATCCAAATTTCATGAAACTTAACATAGTTGTTTCTTATGATGGTCAAACGATCTGTATACTTTTTGGTGAAAATAAGATTAAAACTTTTTGAGTTACGGGACTTAGTAACTAAAACAGGTGTGTGTTTTTTTTTCACATGTCGTGCCGTATCTCAAAAACAATTTATGATTATTGCTTAAAACTTTACACGAGTATTTTAAAGAAAAATAAACAGCTGCGCCATGAGCGCATGATACGCCCGTCGTCTTGTGTGTGAATTTTTATGCAATACGCATAAATAGTTTCTGACATACGGCGTGACATGCGAAAACCCCCCTTTTTTACACACTTCTTAGTTATATTAAACTTAAGATCTGTATACTTTTTGGTGATGATTCAAAATTTTATTTTAGAGATATTGAGTATTTTGTTAAAAAAGGGGGAGGGGTTTTTTACATGTCGCGCCGTATCTCAAAAACAGTTTATGATTATTGCTTAAAACTTTGCACACTTCTAAGTTATATTAACCTGAAGATCTGTATACTTTTTGGTGATGATTCAAAATTTTATTTTTGAGTTATTGAGTATTTTGTAAAAAAAGGGGGAGGGGTTTTTCACATGTCGCGCCGTATCTCAAAAACGATTTATGATTATTGCTTAAAATTTTACACACTTCTTAGTTATATTAATCTAAAGATCTGTATACTTTTTGGTTTTGATTCAAAATTTTATTTTAGAGATATTGAGTTTTTTTTTTTTAAAAGGGGGGGGTTTTCACATGTCGCGCCGTATCTCAAAAACGATTTATGATTATTGCTTAAAATTTTACACACTTCTTAGTTATATTAATCTAAAGATCTGTACACTTTTTGGCTTTGATTCAAAATTTTATTTTAGAGATATTGAGTTTTTTATGAAAAAAAGGGGGGTTTTCGCATGTCACGCCGTATGTCAGAAACTATTTATGCCTATTGCATAAAAATTCACACACAAGACGACGGGCGTATCATGCGCTCATGGCGCAGCTGTTTATTTTTCTTTAAAATACTCGTGTAAAGTTTTAAGCAATAATCATAAATTGTTTTTGAGATACGGCACGACTTGTGAAAAAAAAAACACACACCTGTTTTAGTTACTAAGTCCCGTAACTCAAAATGTTTTAATCTTATTTTCACCAAAAAGTATACAGATCGTTTGACCATCATAAGAAACAACTATGTTATGTTTCATGAAATTTGGATAAGTCATTCTCAGGTTACGGTGCGACATGTTTACGCCGGACAGCAAACCGGATTTCCTGCAGAGGTCGAACCCTCAACAGTTGAGCAAGTATGGACACTACATTTAAGCTTAAAACAGCTCTGAATTTGGATTGTGAATGATATTTGACACAGCATAGGTTTTTGACACAAAATGAATGTGGTCAAAGAACTGAAAAATTTGAAATTGGACATTTACCTATTATAGTCCAATATCGAAAATTTAAGTACATTGTTAGAATCAGCATATCAAAGAACCCCAAGAATTAAAATTTTGATGAAATCAAACAAAAGTTTAGTTTAGGACCGTTTGGACCTCAATGTGGTCCAATTTGATAAAGGAGCCCAAAATCCAAAATCTCTAAATACATGGTTAGATTCAGCTTTTCAAAGAACCCCATCAATTCAATTTTTGTTGAAATCAAACAAAGTTTAATTTTGGACCCTGATTTGGACCAACTTGAAAACTGAGCCCAAAAATCCAATATTTAAATACATGTTTAGATTCAGCATTTGAAAGAACCCTATATATATTTAATTTATGTTGAAATGAAACACAGTTAAATTTTATCCATATACTCATTAATTTTCTGTTCAAAGGGAAATAACTCAAACTGAATAAATGATATACAATAGTTCTCTAAAATTAGATATGATTTAACCACTAAAACATTGTTAGAATCAGCATATCAAAGAACCCCAAGATTTCAATTTTTGATGAAATTAAACAAAATTTTAATTTAGGACCCTTTGGACCTCAATGTGGTATTATCTGATTAATAATGAAAAAATACAGGTTTAGATTCAGCATTTCAAAGAACCCTATATATATATTCAATTTATGTTGAAATCAAACACAGTTTAGTTTTGGACCCCGATTTGGGCCAAAAATCAGAAATCTAAATATATGTTTAGTAATAGACAATATAAGCTTAGTTTTTAAAGGAGTTCACCTCATCAAAATATATATATATATATATAGCATTCAGAAAATTAGGTTATACAGAATAACAAACAAACCTTCCACAAAATTTTTCAAACAATTTACCAAAGAAAAGAAAAAAAATCCAAAATGTCATTTATCATTTAATACAATGTCTTTTAAAAATCTATAAAACTTATCTGTAAGTGTAATCAAACTTTATATATATAATTAACCATTTCTGTTCAAAGGGAAATAACTCAATCACATAATAAGTACCACTTTTGGCTACTGGAAAGGGCTATAACTCAACATCGAGAAAAGCTAAAATCGTGAAAATTGAACTTGACCTTCATTTAGTCACAAGAAACAACATATCAAAATTTGAAAAAATCTCGCCAAAGCGTTTTCATGTAAATAAACGGACACTGTTTTACATTGAACAACTCGACTATTAACTATTTGGTATATATACGATCCGGACCATGAGTATTTGGACCATACGCGTATGGTCATGACCATATGAGTATATACTGACCATATGAGCATATATTGATATGGTTGGGTTCAGAGAATTAGCTTTGTGTTCCTTGGAAGGAAGTTAGAATTTATTCGAAAAATACCGGTATGGTCTAAATACTCGTATGGTCCGGGCCGTTAATAACCAAACTAGTATAATACTCATATGGTCAAACAACAAATGTTTGCCTTCACCTGTAGCGCTTCTATCCATCAGAATTGCTGTATTTGTCATATTAAAATAGAAATAATTCATGGGGGCTTTAATTTTTTCTTAATTCTAAGATGACTTTTTATAAACGCTTTGAGTACACATCCGTCACGTTGGTAAAGTATGAATATGTTGATATGTCAGCTGATCGTCAACGTCACGGATTGTTTGTATGAAGGGCCATTCGGGTCATAATTATTTTTGTTACAAGTACGCTAGAGGTACGCGTAACATGTCGTTCATATACCTTAGAGGTACACGTAAAACTTCGTTCACGTATGATAGAGTTACGCGTAACACTTCGTTCACGTACGCTAGAGTTACGCGTAACACTTTGTTCACGTATGTTTGGCTTTGAGCGTTCCTGATGAAGGTTAATCCAGAAAAGCGCTTCGGACGCCTGAAATTATTTAACGTGTTGTTTTCAATTATTTACATCACTGGGTCGATACCTCTGCTGGTGGACTATCAGTCCCCGAGGGTTTCATCAGCTCAGTAGTCAGTACTTCGGTACGGACATGATTTATAACAAACTTTTCTAAAATTGTCCGTTTATAAATTTTGAAATTATAAAGAAACTAAGGTTTCAACTCCCTCAGGCAAAGTTGACCTTAGATGGATTCGGCTATTTGTTTTAGGTTTTTTTGTCATATAGCTCTTCAACTGTTTCGGTACTTATACATCTTCGGATTTCAAATGTTTGGCTTTGAGCGTTCCTGATGAAGGTAAATCCAGAAAAGCGCTTCGGACGCATGAAATTATTAAACGTGTTGTTTTCAATTATTCAGTTACGCGTAACTGTTTGTTCACGTACGCTAGATTAACGCGTAACTGTTTGTTCACGTACCCTAGAGTTTCACGTAACAATTTGTTAACGTACTATTTGAAAGTATTTACAATGGATTTACTATGGAACAGGGGAGTTAACTCTGGCAAAATCCTTTTGTCATTTCAAATTTCAACAATGTACTTCCTCGGCTTGTTAAATTATATATAAACTGTAACGGATTCGACTCGGCCACATATTCATCTGTCTATGATACAAAAATATTCAAAATTAGAATTCTTATTTTAAAATATTATTAACATTTTAATATCGTAGAAAAAACTGTCTTAAAACCATTTGGTAATTTTTAAAAGCAATAATTTAAATAAGTGTCCGCGTATATCTCTTTTTATTTTTATGAATGACTCCTACGTGGTTCAAAGATTTTTGAACAAATGAAGTGGAATAAATACATGTAGTTCTATTTTCATAACTTTATGAAAATATTATTTATTTATTTACTTGATATAAAAACTCGGTTAAAATTATTGTTTTAAACCTATATTTATATTAAACATTAATTTTGGCAACAGATTGTGTACATGAAAAACAGTATTCTTCATTTTGTTGTCGGTTGTTGCCAAATTTCAAGCAGTTTTTACAGAGTCATCTCCCTTATCCAATACACATCCTTACCTCTAGGGTACGTGAACAAACAGTTACGTGTACCTGATCTAGTTTTCATCATGTTCAGTTTGTAATTAATAGAACGATAATTGAAATATTATATGCTTTCATAAGGCAATACTTTTCATAAAAGTTGTGTCATTTATTAGTACACCTGTCGTGTTGCTTTCTGATCCGTCTTTTTCGTGCCTTTATATGCCAAGGGTGGAGAGGAGGGAAGTGGATCGTAACCCTTGGCTAGCGAAGATGGCGTCCGAAGCGCACTTTTGGTTTCGACCTTAAGGTGGCTCGGGTGTCTTCCTCCATCTTGGATTTCGAAGTAGCAGAAAACGTTGGTCTAGATATTTCATGAAATGTGCAAATTTTTAGAGTAGTATGTAATTAATGTAAAAGACTTTTGATGTAAATATAGAAAATTGTGTGTTTTGTCATAATTACGGCTGTAATTTCTCAAAAACACCTTCTTTGTGTTTGATAAGATAACTCAGATAAAGTAATTTTTATAATAGAAAGTGTTGTGAATTTACCTATTTTGATATGTAGCAAGAAAACAAGTTCGGTGACCCTATTTTTTCTTTTTCTTATATGAATGCATCTTAATAAGAGCTATCTTCTCACATTTTATTTTGAAGTTCTATCAAGTAGTTTTCTTTTTATCACACAAAATTTGATTTTCCATGCATAATCTATACAAAATCTTACAATTTTGCACAACCTCTAGCGTGAAAAAAAGTTTGGTGACCCATACTTTTTATTATATTTTTGAAAAAAGTATGATAAAAACTTCATTTTGACAAATTATCAAAAAATTCTATCAATTTTAATTAAGACGCCCCAGCCACCTTAACTGACAAAGATTCCATACAGATGTTTCATGCGTACTTAAATCAGTAAGACAAGATTTACATAATTGTCCTGTATCAACATATGGTGCCAGCATCAACCGATTACTTACGATCGACAGTATAACAAGCTATTATTCTAATTAAAACCATGTATATTACAGCAGTTATTATATACACGTTTCTTCTCGTCTTCATTATATTCTATTATATAAACAGCATCATCTGTTAACTGAAACAAAACAATTGACATCGTTTATAAGGACCATTGGAGTACGTATATAAATATTAATTGGGAAATACAATTTTTTTGTTATCAGATTTCTGCAAGAAAGGCCATTAACCCATAATGATTACTTTGCTGTAATCTAATGTTTTGTAAACAAAATATTCAATGGTAGATTATCGAAAAGTGTCATTAGGAGAGCAGGAACTACTTCCGTTTCCGGAGCACTTGATTTCCCCAAGATTTCAGGGTTCTTGTTGCTGAATATTCAGTATACATTCAGTCAATGTAATATTTTGATTGATTGATTGGTGTTGAACACCATTTATAGGACTATGATGCTATTTCGTGGCGGTCTGTTTGTATTGGTGGAGGAAGCCGGAGTGCCCGGAGAGAACCACCGACCATCGGTACATGTAGGAAAACTGACAATACTAGTCAATTAATAGTATTCGATCTCACAACCTCAGTGTTGATAGGTAAGTGATACAGTAGTTCGACTACATAGACCACTCGGCCACCAAGGCCCCAGTATGTAATGTTTGTGGACAATTGTGAAAACTTTTCTCTTTTTTTTAACAATATGAAAATAAGGCAATTGAATTCAGTTTGATTGACGATAAGAAAACTGTCCACCTAAGATAAAAGGACGTGGACGTAGATGTAAGCATGCAACATTAGACCCAAAAGTTCCGGCACGAAATTGCAACATGTGACACAATTCAATCGAGAAAACCTTCAGTATGCTGAAACATCAAATGAAAAACAAATATGGCAGACTGCAACCTACGACAACCACTGAGTTTCAGCCACCTGACTTGAGACAATCACATTATTATATTCAAAAAGAAATGAGATTAACGTAACACCTATGCCACGACGATCTTTAGATATATGACATGTATGATGGGACCTTTATTAATTTTCCAAAAACAATAATGCGTTGATATTATATACGAAATACGAAAGTTAAAAAACAAAGTAAAGTAAATACAATGTAGACAAATGCCATATATGGATAGACGATAACGTTACGTAACGGAAACCCTTGTATTTAAGGGCATACGATACAGTTACAGGGGAGGTAATGACGTTGCTAACGTAAAATGTTATTTTCGCGACGTCAAACTGAGACATATCGGGAAAAGATGCATTTTTCGACTGATTTTTATCATTCAAACTGATTTAACTTTTAAAAGAGTTCATGGACTCCTCTTTTTTAAAACGACATTCGGTTTGATTACGTATGAAGTTTATTTGTACCAATTTTCATGAAAAAGTCAATAATGCATTTTTTTTTAATTTGATAAATATACAGCAAAAAATGACGTTTTTTTCTACATTAATGAACATTTGTTAAATTTTAGTTATTTCCAAACAAAAAAAATCATAAATTTATAGGATACTTATATAGAAGAGAAATTATAAATAATTTTACAAAAAACAGTTCGTGTTTATCTCTTAAAACAAAAAAGTAATGCATTTCTGTCGGAAGGAAAAATACGTCCACAAATCCGAATTTTGAGTAAATATCTGAAATTTCGACCTCATTTTACTCAAAAAGTAGCACATGAAGGTATATTTTTTATTACATATTTGATTTAAGCAGGTAAAAAATAGCCTATTTGCAAATTTTCATCAAAATTTCATTATGGGATCAAAACTGTATCGTATGCCCTTAAACGCCACCATGCTATAGACACTTGTGCAACGTCACCATTAGTTGTATCTTTGGCAATAATACCGCAAAAATGAACAAAAGGCAAATAATTAACAACATCAAATGATGGCAATACTTGTTCTTCAAACGACTATTATGAAACATAATGACATTTCAGAAAGATAACTTAGAAAAAGGGGTCCAAATGGTCGGAAATCATGCATCTTTTATATTAATTTTCATTCAAAAGTTGTCTTCCGTACAAGGACAATGAATTAATTAAAATAGAAGTAGAGACATTTTTAAATTATTAGTTTGATCTAATTAGATAAAAACTACAACATCAAGTCATTTGTTTGTTAAGACGAACACTGCTTAAAAAAAGTTTCTTCTGTTTAAATTTCCACATTTAATGATCATAATGATTGATCTCGGCCTTACTTAGTATCATTTGTAGGTAAATTGATTATGAATACTCGTAAAATTCATCTTGTATTAAACCTCGAATGAAATGAGGTTCAACTGTTGCTGCTTATGAGACTTGAGAGAGGATCGTCAAAAGCTATTCTAGCATGGTATCCTAAGCTTGGTGACGTTTAGGGGTCGACTTTTCTTAAGTAATCTTTCATTGTCGTTATATATCATACATTGATTAGTGATGAGGGACATACATATACTCGACTTGATCTTTAATTTCAGAATTCAAGATGTGGTTCTTAACATAGATTTTCCAAACGTAAGATTTAGTTCCGGGTAATGACCCGACAGTAGAATTTTGCTTCAATTATCCCAGAGTCCCTGTCGTAGAAGAGGTGGGCAGGGTTGCTTTGGTTGCCTCATCAAGTTTTGTGCGTACAGTTATTTTTTGATATAGCTACGCCACCGGTCACTCTATCATATCTTTATGTACGTGTAGTTTTATGCAATACATATAGCCAGAGACATATAATACATTAACGTGTATTATATGTCTCTGATATAGCACATGCAGAAACGATTTTGTAATTAGAACAGTATTAAAAAATATCATATTTCCTATTCTGTGCCCTAAATTGTGTGGCTTACAGATACATGATCCAAATAAAGATAGCAATCATATAAGCTATATTCTGACACATGATATTTATATGAACAATTGTTTTGACAGGTTCAAATACAGTTTAAACCCTAAGGGTGATGTGGGTACAGAAATGCTTAGATGTTGATTGATAAAATTGATGAGAATAATGTACTTGTAAAATCACTTACTGTATATGAAATTATGTGTACATTATTTCAAACTGGCACTAATAATAACTTTTAATCCATTATCGAAGGTTAATACTGATTCAGTGATTGGCATATGGTGTGTAGCTACCCATGTGTTTGTGTACATACACACAAACCAGATCTGAGTATGTGTAGATCATTGCTCGTCATCTTTGAATATATAACCTAAGGTACAAATGTATTAAATCATGTAACTATAATAGTTTTAGTTTTCGACAAAATTGCTTATTTAAATTTAGAAATACAATATTGTGGCGATCTATTATATGATTCTACATTCGATTAATTAAATCTAACATGATTATGGATCATTATGATACATTAAAACTTGTCTTTCCTATCGTTAAGTTCAGAAAAATACATTGTCTGTTTTCTGCAACAAGCCTCTTTGTGTTGGAATAGTAAACTGTTCCTTATCTATTACTTTTTGGAAAATCATTAATGTCTGGCTATTTCCAACATACCCTCATTTTCAAGCGGCAGTCAACGAAATTGTCATCTAAGTTGACATACCTATTGTTTAAAATTGTTATTGTTTTTTTCTAGTCCTGAATATGCTTGAAATATTTGCCAACGGACGTTCATCAAGCCACCTACAACTAATTAATAAGCAAATTTATGTCATAGCGAGAATCGAGGGCGTTTTGTATTAAATGTGGCTGGTCTTCGTTTGTACAGAATGATACAGACTATTGAAAGTAATTGCGATAAGAAAATATGCTGTATTTGATGACTTGCAGAACATTATTTCGGGTTGAGATGTAAAATTCGTTTTAAAATAATGTGGCAGTAGCAAGAATATTTTCCCAGTTGAATAACGAAGTCATTAGACAACTTCAAACAAGAAGATTACTCACTCTGAACCGTCATAAAACGTGGGGTTCGTCTCTTATACGGTTGAGTCTTGTTTGTCGACTCCCGATAAATCTCAGATGTCATTTTTTTTCTGTTTCGTTTTAGTTGTTTGGGCTTTTGGGGCCTTTGTATTAATGCAAAATTTTATCTCACACTCGGGCCATTTTCAAAAGTGTTTCAAACTGTACTAAATTTATTGTATCAACGCTTCATGTATGTACATGTACATTGAAATTGTAACAATATTACGTCGTTATTCTGAAACATGAGAAAATCATGAATGCTTGAATTGATTGCATTTTAAAAAAAAAAAAATCTAAATTTATACATTAAATAACTTTCGGATTTAACCCAGTTCTCAAGTAATTATACAAATAAACAATATTTAAAGACTGGGTGTTCTCCTTACAATATTAATGAAAGAAATGAGTGGTCACGTCAAAGAGACTGCCATCCAATGCAAAACGCCACCAAAATGCGTCTAGAGGGCAACATTCAGTCTTTAAAAGTACATAGGTGTCGGACAAGGTCCGAATCGTCCCGAGTATTAAAAATTATGAATAATTAAACTATCTTCAACACCTAATTCTCCAAATAACGGAAAATATAATTCAAAACATGATTTAAGGCAACCACCCTCGCGGATCCGGACTTTGGACAGGGACATGATTCATTTATGTTCCTCGATATATGGTATAACCTTTTGTCTGAAGCATACAATATTTTCTCGATTTCGATACATTAATAGGGTTAATTGTGAACTTACAAATTTCTATATTCCAACACTCCAGCAGCGCCGACATATGGAGTATATATATCCAAGTTGAAACGATATTCTAGCTCTAGCATTTCCTATCATGATTTACTTGATAGAGGATCGCTTCTTACAAGGAAGCTATTAAACCAAGATTTCAAGGTATAAAGTTCAAATGATCCCTTCAAAAATTTTACGGACGCCGTCACGAGTAAGTTAACCGTTATGGAATATCTGTTTCACAGATCACGACTGATATGTTCCAATCATGTGTACAATTCTTGTCAGATTTTTAAAAAACTTACTAGTATATCATTTTAGGTTTGTATATTTCAGCAATGTCTCGGACAAGTTCGAAAATCAGTGCCAATCAACTATTTTTAAAAGAGTTATGCCCCTTGGAAATATTAATTATATGGATGATTGCATTGTAAGCGTTCTCACGTGCATAATTTTTGCCAGATTTTTATGAAACTTACATCAAAGATTTATATCAGCAATGTCTCGGAAATTTTGGAAAATCAGTGCCGATCAAATATTTTTAAAAGAGTAATGCCCCTTGGAGATATTCATTAACATGTTCTTGGATTAATTTGCACTTCTCATGAGTGCAAATTAGAACCACACTTTTTTAAATGGTAGAATCATCTTTGGCAATAATGTACCTCTGGGGATAGGTAAAACAATACGAAAAAAATTTGGTATGGCTCGCCTGGTTCGGCACTTGGAGTGAAAACAGTGACAAAATCCTGTAGGATATTATTTTCTCCCATAGGATTTTTTTAAATCCTACAGGATTTTCAGAAATCCTATAGGATAAAGTCATAATCCCATAGGATATTTTTTATATCCTACAGGATATTAAAATCCTATGGGATTTATAATCCCTTAGGAGAATAAAAATATCCTACAGGATATATTTTCTCCCTTAGGACTTAAAAATCCCTTAGGAGAAATAAAAGCATTTCCTACAGGATACTTTTTATCCTATAGGATATTTGTCTAATAAAATTATCCTGTGGGATAAAAGATATCCGATAGGATTAATAAAAATCCTAAGGGATTTCATTACAGAAAAAATATCCTATGGGTTAAACAAAAATCCTAAGGGTTAAAAGAAATCCTAAGGGATAAAAAAATCCTAAGGGAGAATAAAACTCCTATGGGAGATTAAATCAAATCATAAGAGAGAAAAAGATCCTTTGTGAGAAAGAAATATCCTATGGGAGAAAGAAATATCATATGGGAGAAAAGAAATCTATTTGAGAACAAAACCAAAGAAAAGAGAATAATTTTTATATGTTCTGGAACTAAGTAAAAGTATTATTTTATTTGACTAAATATCCCCAGATTTCATTGTTCAAGAAATGCAAATTTTACTACCAATGACACAAATTCCCGATAATTGTACTTCAAGCCTGGAGCTTGCATGTTAAGTGTTTAGTTATGTTTAGTATTGCCATGTGCGTAGTTTTTTCTGTTACCTATTCTAACATCGGACTCTGACTTCTTTTAAATTGAGTTTTTCCCCTGTTTTATACAGTGTGGTTGTTTATTCCTCATTTGCTGAACTAGTATACATTATTGTTTAAGGACCAATAGAGGCCCGCCTCCATGTGCGGGATTTTCTCCCTGCGTTGAGGACCCATTTTGAACTCATCAGGGCACCTGTACTCAACCCTGTTGTTATACTGAGACAAGACTGTGACACCATCTAAACCAGAACTTAATCTGTGAAAAAAATCAGAAGCAAATTCAAACAACACATGATGTTGAGGCTACCACCAGCTCGTAATTGAAAGTAAGGGCAAGTCGGAAATATGCGTCCAACAGATCTTAAATACAATCATACGTTTGCACTCATCTCTGTTGAGCTGCTATCCAAATAGGAGTTAATTGACAGACAGACAGACAGACAGACAGACAGACAGACAGACAGACAGACAGACAGACAGACAGACAGACAGACTTTGTCGTTTCTATAATCATGTTATGATGATCTCAACATTTTTTAACAAGATTTCTTTTGAATATTTAGCATTTTTCAAATTTAATGTACATGTATAAATGGTTAAAAAGTAGTACTGTAAAACATGTGCAACACATGCTCATTTTACAATTACATAAAAAAAAATCTTTGAAAATCGTATATAAGTGGTTTTTTTTTTTTATTAAGTATAGGTAGCATTCCATGAAGTTTTATTTTAGGTGGAGATGCATGAATAGTTTTGCCAGTTACTATATTTCTTCGATTTTGTCCTCAATATACATGTAGTATTTGCAACTGAACATTAACATTAACTAACAACAATAAATCCATCAACAGAATTTGATAATAAAATTAATAACCCATATTTTTTTAACCTAAACCCTAGATGTTTTAAAAAGAGTGTGTTGTTCTCCTAGGTCTATGTGCATCTTCAACAACGGATACACCAACACGTTAGACTAGAATATTATTCATGACTAAAATCTCTTTTTCTTTTTTTTTTTAAATTATATTGCTGATAATTTTTTATATTTCACAAAAATGTATCAATCTAATTAAAATATAGATCTCTGATTTCGTTATACTACATATGAGTATTATAACGAAATCAGAGATCTAAATTTTAATTAGATTGAATAATGTATGCACTTGTTGATCATTGGTTTATACAGATAGAAATTTACGGAACTATAGATAGTCACAATTTAAAATATATGTTGAAAATAAGAGAGAAAATAATCATACAAATTGCATACATTTCGCATATTTCTGTACATAATAGAAACGGGGTAAATACACACGGGATTTAGTTCATGAATATAAATATAATAAATACACACATCTTATAGGAATAAAGTCTCACCAACTATAGCATTACATATATAATTGTCATTCTTGGTTGAATAGTGGAAGGAGTCATTTAAGAAATGTACATGTACGCTGTGATTAGTAGTAGTTATTCAACTTCCCAGAAAATGTGCTGCATAGCCGCAGTTGCATAATTTGTACACACCATAAATATATATTTCCAGTCTATTTCTGTCATTTTTATATGTTGACTCAGAGACATATATATATATATATATATCTGGTTAACAACAACAAATATTTCAATATTTGAATTTGCTGTGACTTACTGTTCATCTTTTTTCCCGTTTTTTTTTTTAAATAAAAAGCAACGTTCCAAAGGGGAATTAAAAAAAAACACTTCTATCGAAATTTACAGATAAAAACGTAAATTTACAAATAAAAATAGTTCCTGAATGTAATTTAAAAACTAAATGATTGTTTTAGTGATTAAAGTTGAGTAAGAATTTAAAACATTTATCCTACCTAGGACACCTCTAAAAAGATGACTGATGATGCTTTACAATCGTGATAATTTCTGAGACATGGTACATTCTGTATAGGTAGGGATTTACTTCGGCATTTTCGGGTATTACAGCGGAGCTACATGTTTATTACCTGTATATGGTAAGGTACTCTCCAATGAAGTCTCACGTATATGT